TGATGGTACCAGCCAAGACATCTGAGGTCCAAGGAGGCTACAGCCCAGGGACCATCCAGTCCTCATGGGGGGGATTCCAGCTAAATAGAAGCTGGGGTTTGGACATGTCTGGGCAGGTCTGCTGAGTACGCAGGGCAGGCCTGCCCGGAGTCTATTTACATGACAACTTTTGGCTGAAGAAGGACTGTATGCTGATCTGAGTGGAAAGTGGCATGGGGAAAACACATTAGGACCCAGGTTTTGGAAAGTGCTTCTTGAAAAACAAGTTTATTAATTAAATAATGTATCACTTTTATATCTGGCACTTGTATACTTTACATCAGGATTTTTGATAGTTTGGAAATAGCTTATTACTATCTTTAGGAATCTACGGTCCCTGTGCAGGAAATCATGTGAACATTAAAGGAGATTGATTTAATTGCGTTTACTACCGGGGACTGTGTGGGGTGTGTGAATAAATGGACAAAAGGCATATTTTGTGGCTTTGGGAATGTTGGTGGGTGAGCGAATTTTTTCTAAGTTTCTAAGGGAAACAATGTATCTAAACCTGTCATTTTGAACTGTGCCCTTTTGCTAGCACCCAGCACTTCCTGACATTTTGTTAAATATTAGCACAGCTAAAATACTTTCCAATTGTGTGTGCCTTCCGTTAGGAGTGTTGTTTACCTGTGCGCTTCTGGCCTTGCTGCCTCGTTCATCGCGCTTTCAAGGTAGAGTCTGGCCGATGAGCCACCATTCTATCTTTCCCCCCTTTAATTAATAACAATTATAATCCTAGAAGACACTTATTTACTGACTTTTTTATGTGCCAGGCACTGATCTAAGCGCTTTACACATCTGATTTCTTTTAATCCTCATGACATTGTTATGAGGCGGACACTCCCATTGCCCTGGTACTACACGGGAAACCGGCACAGAGAGGTCCAGTTACTGGTCCAAATAGTAGACAGCAAGCAGTGCAGAGAAACATTTTTTGTTTGTTTGCTTTTGTTTTGATGTTTCAAGTGTTTTAGCAAAGCTACTAATAATTCTAAATTTTAAGATGATTACAGAAAAGGCTATTTTCTCAGTTCGGGTATGGTTTTGGTGTCAGGAATTCTCATTGCCAATTTGGATTCTTCAAATAGCCTTGGTAAAGTCACCGGAATTAGTCTCTAGAGTGTTTTGGTCATTCAAACTTGAGATTTTTTTAAATGACTGATATGTCACTTGCTTTTCTAGAGAATGAGACAGGCAGTCTACCGTGTGCCTCTCCTTCCTGAGAATGACTTTTAAAAATTTTAAACTTTTTATTTGAATATAATTTCAAACTTAGGGAAAAGTTGCAACAATATGGTATTAAAAATACCCCTATACCTTTTATCCAAATTCACTTGTTACATTTCACTCTACTTCTTTTAACATTCATGTGTCTTCCTTTGAGTACACGTGGGGGAAAAGCTATATAAAGCTACTTTTTTTTTTTTTTTCTAAATCATTTCAGAGTAAGTTATATACATTTTGGCTATTTTCCCTAAATACATACTTCAGTGTGTAAGTACAAGAATATTCTCTTACATGACCACACCACAGTAATCAGTTTCAGTAAATTTGACATTGACCCATGAACGGTATTCTAATTTTGTCAATATATAGCATTTCCCCTGGGGTACAGAATCCAGTTAAGGCCAGCCACTGCCTTTAGTTGTCTTGTTTGGGAAAGATTCTAATTACGCCTGATTTTATTTTTGCCCAACTCTAGGAACCACATCCACTTAACATATAGAAATCTTAAGTGGACATCTGATGAAAATGAGACTTTTGCTATTTCTCACTATTACTTGATACTTTGGCAGTTCCTGATCATTAGGATGTAGTCATTCCAATAAAAACCAGTTACTAGAACGGTTTCTATTAATTACATTATGTGTCTAAGTGAGTTGCTTCTTTGAGTCATAGCTGAAATTCTAACAATAGCCTAATGATATTAATGTAATTTGGATTTTACAAGAGACTTCTATTTTTCAATCCTAATTAGCCTAATGCAGGATTACTGGCAAAGGAGGAAACGTCAGGAAGGAACATGAGATATTTTTTGCTTGAGAGACATGATTGATGCTGACAAATATGAAATAAAAATTTTAAATAATCTGAACATTGTTTTAAAGCAAGCTAATGATTTTATCACTCTCTTGCCAAGACATACACTGGTGCCTGCTACGTTTGATGTTTTTACTCTCATTGTCCATAGCTGCCTTTAGCGTGTCTGTAGCATCCCAGGACAGTCAGAAATCCACCCAAGGGCTGTGACACCATGTCTGCCAGCTGTCTTTCCTTCCCCGAGAGCCTGTCCCCAGGGGCAGCAAGGAGCTCTGGGCACCATCAGGACCCTCGTCTCTTCGGTTAATGGCAGCCTGTTTGTCCTCGGTACCTCCCTTCTCTTTGGGAACCAGGCTGCAGGCTAACAAACCCTACAGGCTCCCGACCATTATCCAATCTCTGCCTCCCAGAAGGCCCCTCTGTCTCCACATTTCTCATTTGGTGACCACAGTTGAGAGTCAAGTCTTCTACTGTCATTATTATTTATTGTTAATGAAAGAAAAACTTTTTACTTTCTGGAATCAGACCTAGAGTCATTTTTAATAATTCTTGTTTAGCCATGTTGGCCATACTGACTGCTCTTGGCTTTCCCTCCCAGTCCCAATCCTCACTTCTTTGCATCTTGCTTTCAATATCCTGAGTCAAGGAATCAGCACCAATGAATTGGAAACTCTTGTTGATCATCTAGTTGTTACTTTGTAGCACCAATGAATTGGAAACTCTTGTTGGTCATCTAGTTGTTACTGTGTAGCACCAATGAATTGGAAACTCTTTTTGGTCATCTATTTGTTACTATATAGCACCAATGAATGGGAAACTCTTGTTGGTCATCTAGTTGTTACTTTTTATTTTATTTTATATCTTTATTGATTTCAAAGAGAGGAAAGGAGAGGGAGAGAGAGAGAAAGAAACATCAGTGATGAGAGAGCCATTGATTGAGCCCGCAACCTGGGCATGTGCCCTGACCAGGAATCGAACACCGATCGCCTGGATCCTAGGTCGATGCTCAACCGCTGAGCCACGCCCGGCCAGGCTAGTTACTTTGTAGCACCAATGAACTGGAAACTCTTGTTGGTCATCGAGTTGTTACTATGTAGCACCATGTGTTGCAGGGACCTCCGGTGCCCCAAAAGCCAATTCGAGGTTCTAATAGTGTGCCTTGGTTGCCTAAGGTTATCTGCAAAATACTGCCATCCTATCGCTGTCATTTACTCCCTATGAAATGTGGACATCATTGTGGAAGTCCACCTCCATCCTTTCCTCACCAGGTCCCTATCATCCCAACACTACCATGCCTGTTTCTGTAGCTGACCATCTGATATCTGCAATGTGCTTAGTCTATTTCCACTTTTCCTTGTGACATGCCGTATTTTAAAGATTTGAGATCCACTTTATTAAGCAAGATAAGGGGTGCCTCTGGCTATGAGGAGCTCGAAACAGGAACAGCCAAGGTGGGGTTTTCCAAGAGAAAGCCTTACGCTCAGCACATCGCAGGGACAACCACGTCTGCTCTTATGAAGGGGTTGCTGGACCTCAGGTCCCATTGTCCTTCAAACTCCCCAGGGTGGTTTGTAGGTCACCTTGCGTTGGAGGCGACTCCTGCCCTGGCCACTGCATTTCAGGGATATCTCATCTCCATTTCTCAGCAAATGTGTTACATCCATTCTCCCCCAAGAGCCCCAAAACTTCTTTGCAATCATGAGCGATGGAGACCACTGGCTTTTAAAAATTTTTTTATTTTTTCACTCATCATTTATTTACAAATACACATTATAACTTTTATATACATTGCACATTTACATGGTAGAAAAGTACAAAACTATATATTTAAATGAATTTATATTTAACTTGCCATGTTTGAAAATATAAAATTGCATCAGAAAAAAGTATTATGAAAAGCAAGAAACTTGAACTGATAAAGCTCTGATATACCTTTTAGTGACACACTGGTTGAAATGGAACTAATTGAAAGGTACAGGAGAGCAGCTTCGAGGAAACGCCTAGGAAAGGTGAGCGTGTAGCATCCCTCCCTCCAGTCCCCCAACCCCCATCGCTCAGTTTCTTTGGATCTGTAACATCTTCAAAGCACATCGTTAGAAGTCTAACGTCACTGTCACCTGTCTCACTAACGTCTCCATCACCAGAGAACTGAAGGCGGAGTTTCCTCAGAGATGCACCCCCTGTACCTCTACTTGAGCCAGTTACAATGCCTTTTGGTCAGTCAAGATTCCTTGTAAACAAAACCCGAGGGAGCGTGTAACGCACAGAACAGGCAGCAGAGAATCCAATAAATAAACATGACAAACTGACATGCGAGTCCGTTAAGCGAGAGGAGTCAGACGGCGCGGCAGGGGCGGGGCGGCGAGCGAGCGGTCAGGAATGGACTTAAATGGTTTACAAGGAAAAAAACAGCTTTCACTTTACAGGCAAGAGACCTCACAATAAATAACAACTGCTCTTCCTTTCACGAATAAATTTCTTCAAAAACAAGGTGTACAGTCAACCAGACATTTTATGTATAAATTATAAAACATGACACAGTATAAATAAATGCCTACAAGTCTCAACTACGGGCCTCATCCAGTAGACCTCACAACGACTGCCTCTCCGTGTCCGAGGAGTGACAAGGTGGCCTGGGAGAGAGCTTGAGGACAAAGGTCCTTTACGTATAGTTTTCCCCCCAAATAAATAAGCATACACTTATTTACAGTATGGACAATATATATTTTTTCTTTCCTTATTTTTTTTCTTTTTTTTTTTTTTTTTTTTTTTCTTCT